TAATAATCTTAATCATTAAATTACTATTTAATTTCTTCTATATATTTATAATAATAATATGCAAAATAATATATATTTCAAAGAATTTTTATAATAGCAATTTAATGATTTTTATTAATGAAATTTATAACAAGATAAAAAAAAAAATCTTGAATAAAAGTATCTTCTTATTAATATTAACAGAAAAACAAGTGGTAGAGAATATGATGAATCGCAAAAAAATACGATATACAGAAAGGGAACAAATGGGAGGGACAAGAAGGGTAAAACAGGCGGCTGTTCGCTGTCTCCGGAAGGAACTGTCTCCCTTTATACCCAAAGACATTCCTCCAAACATGAACCAACGTGCTTCGTACGACGGTGTTCTCCCTTCGTAGAAGCACTTCCACTGACATCCCTACTCTCTGTTAACCTCTTGCACCCGAAACTAAATTAAGGGTCGTTCCGGTCGATATTTTTTAATCTCCTAATACTTTTTTCTTTTCTTTTTTTTCTTTTTTTTTCCTGTATTTTACTGTGCCTAGTGAATCACTTATATTTTTTGAATGTTTGTGACAAATTAATAATTTAATATATTATACATAAATACTATCTCTGGAATATAAAAAATTTATGTAAAAAAGAAGTAAATTATTAAGTAAATTATATAAAAAAAAAAAGTAAAAAAATATATATTTATAATGATTCACGTACTGTAAATAGAAAATTGTCATCTAAAACCTGGTGTCATTGCACCCTAGGTTCTAGAGGACGGCTAGAAGATGAAAGTTGGAAATACGTAGACGACTGAAAATCTCTTCTGGCTCGTTGCCAAGATCTTCGAATCTTGTCATCTTCTTCATCCATGTCTTCCATTCTCCAGCACGCACTTCTTCTTTTCGTAGCTTTGCTGGAGGCAATCACTTAAATAGTTCTACTATTCTATCTTTCTTTATCATTTCTTATCGTTTTTTTTTTTTTTTTTTTCTATTTTCCAAAAAAAAAAAAATTATTTATTTTTTTTATTTTTTTGGGAAAAAGTAAAAAAAAAAAAAAAATTTTTTTTTTTTTTGGGAAAAAAAAAAAAAAAAATTTTTTTTTTTTTTGGGAAAAAAAAAAAAAAAAATTTTTTTTTTTTTTGGGAAAAAAAAAAAAAAAAATTTTTTTTTTTTTTGGGAAAAAAAAAAAAAAAAATTTTTTTTTTTTTTGGGAAAAAAAAAAAAAAAAATTTTTTTTTTTTTTGGGAAAAAAAAAAAAAAAAATTTTTTTTTTTTTTTTACTATTTCCTACAAAAATATAATATATTCATTTATTATTTGAAGAAAATTCTTCTTCAAGAAAATTAAAAGAGATTATGATTAATACAAACTTAAAATGCGCTCTCTAGAACCCAAAAGAGAGAAGTTAATTATAAAGAATGGAAAATATCAAAAATACCGAAAAGAGAAAAACAACGAACAAATGAAGGTGATTATGCGAAAGAAGAATAGTTAAAAAAGAAATAGATTTCAAGAATAAGTAAAAGGATTCGAAATTCTAATAGTGATCCTATGTTTCTTTTATTATGATCGTCTAATTTCGGTGAGTGTTAGCGAAAGTGCGTCATCCTTTACGAATTTGCGAATCGTGAATTTAGAATTCCAATCTGTACATTCTACCTTGTCCCGCGAGTGACCATGGAATAGAAGAGAGGTGGTTTACCCGAAGAACACGACAGCTGCATCGAGCCACCGGCCTGAAAATAGCACGGCAACCCCATACCGAGGCCGAAGAGCGAAGTCGAAGCCCTCTCCCTACGTCGGTATATACCTCGGCTAAAAAGCCACCCACCTACGAGCCTTTTAAATAGCAATCGCGTGCTTTTCCCTTTTTTTCCCACCAGAAAACTTCTTGCTAAACGACATGATCGTGGAAAGAGGGAATATACCGATCCTGATTTATAAGAGGTACCAGGCGTTTCCTGATAATTTTCGGAACGATATCCGATACACTCACCGAAACATTTACTTTTTTTTTCTTTTTTTTTTTAGAATGATTCTATGAAATAGGATTACGCTTAATGACTCTGTCTTCTTTATCGAGTAAAAAAATCTCCCCTTCTCGAATTTCTGAGGAAAAAAGAAAGATCTTCCTTTTCTTCGGCAAGAGAACTTAGATAACCATTGAGGAGTTATTGAAGAAGAAACTGAAAAAATTATTGAAACGTTAGATTATTTATGATTAAAATTTCATTTTTGCAAAAAATGGCAACGCACGTGGTCTCGCCATCCATCCAGCTTCTCTGTTTTCTTCGGTTTACACGTACTTCCTCCTCCGCACCTGGAGCTTCTCCAAGTACGCCGAAAATACACGTTTTACGCGACACGTTCCATCGAAACCGCGTTCAGGCACCTGTAGGATGCGTCCCATCTATCCGTCGGTTTATTAATGTAGAAACCACGAAGTAAATTACTCTTTACGCGTATCTGATGACACACAGAAGCCTCGGATACTGACAATCCATCGCTGAGAAAAGGTTGGCAAGTTTCATAGTTGCGTCAATCGAGATGCTCGACACTCGTGACTTTATTTTTAGGTCCAACGTCGATAGTACCGCGATTGCAATAGCGTTCCCGAGACACCTGTTCTTCGAATCATTCTGAAAACAATCAACATTTCAATCAATTTCAGATTGTTGAAAAAATCAAGGGAATAAAAAAATATAACAAAATAATATATATATATATATGTATATTTATATTTATATATAATTTAATGTATGTATATATTTGTTAATGTTCATCAATTCTTTCTCAAATAAGAAACATTAAACTATAATATACTTAAATCGGAATCGTTATCCCGTTACTGCAAAAGATTTACGAGTATCGATAAAGGGAGCTTAACACTCGGCATCGTATTTTCGTGAGGAACATAAGAGAGGCATCGTGAAACATCGATGCGGGACGAAAGAAGGTGGCAAGCAAATAAAAAAACGGCGTCGAATCTCGCAGTTTCATTGGTGGCTTACAGGATAGAAGCAGGTTGGTGCGCTGGGTGGTTCTTCTGGAGCGACGCCAGGCGTCCGCCGAATTTAGCACCGCGACGCTGACTAACTCGCGTGGCATTCATTCAATCGCCGACCAAAAAGTCCGTTGCTTGCATAGTCTCTCACTGCATAGTCTCTGTTTGCACGAACGACATCGCTCTCCCTGTACTTGTTCGGAAAACCTCGCTTTTCATTTTTCTCCTCCCCTTTAAATATCCTGGAAATCGAATTAAAAATCCATTTCGATATCTATAAAGGTACAACGTTTCATTCTTCATCGTAGTTCATTGTATTCAATTATACCAATAGCAAAGAAGATAATAAAACTCTTTTGAGAAATATTGTTTGTCGGTGATATTATTAAACAATCGTGGGGATGTTATAATCGATAATATGTGACTAAAATAAATATGTCATTTTATTAATAACGACTTGGTATTAATAAAATACTATAGAAGATCGTAAATATATGATACGTCTCATAGAAATATAACGTTTATTTTTAATGGAATTCCATAGGAAAAAATATGTAATAACTTTCTATCTAAGGAAAATTAATTTAAAAATTTTAATTTGTCCTTATATTTTTTTTATCATTTCATAAAAAAAATTCATTTTTTTTTTTTTTAATATATGTATCATTCCTATAATTTCCATGATTTTGCTTCTTAAAATGTGTCTGTGGCATCAAGTTCGAGGAAATTTCACTCATCTCTAAAGCAAAAAGACGCGTGTCTCGATGAATCGCGTCTAGCATTTTTGCGCTTTTTCCGTTTCCCCATCTATGAGATGGTTAAAAGATGCCGCACTAAATGACACACGTTCTTTTCCTTTCCCTTTCTTTCTTTCTCGGTCCAGTGGCGGTTAATGAACATCGGACGCGTGCCGTAGATCCCACAAAATCTGTCTACCAACAGTGGCTTCACATTAAAAATAGAATGCTTATCCTTTCATTTGCCAACTGGTAAATATCGTGTCGATAATCTGCTTTCTTTCTTCCATTTCCTTCGTTTTCTGCAGAGTAATGTAATCTCAAAATATTTAACACCGATATTTCTAATGTCGTTACAATTTTATACAACGATTTTGAACATGATTCAAGATAAAGAAAATTTATAAATAAACAGAAATGATGTTACCTTCGTGTTGCTAATTGAATTTGAATTTAAATCTTTTCCATGACATATTAGTTTAATGGATTCTAAATGCTCTAATGCACTTTAAACGTTTACACCTGGTCATATCTATCCAAAAGCAATGTCATAAAATTCCAAAGTAATAGAACAAATAAAAAGATGTGAATATATTTGATTCTGATTACGGTTTTTTCGTTATTATGTCAGATTTTCATTGATCGTATATTGTTACTCGCATGAGTTACAAATTATATCGATATTTCTTATGAATAAAAAAATACGTCCTTCGATCTATTTTTTTTTCATTATTTCAATTCATATCCAAAAAATAAATAAATCTTCATAACGCTTTCTTACAAACGTTCCATAATTCAGTTGAAAAAAGTTCAAAGTAATTTTCCAGCTAAAAAATATTCAACAAATTTTTATACATATGAATCCATTCTAAAGAAATTCAGAATTATAAAAAAAAAATATAAGAATATATTATAAGTATTTAATATGTAACGAAATTAAAAAATTGAAATTATAAAAATTCGTTCACTAAAACAAATAAAAAATAATCGTAATAATCGTAATACAGTTTAAAATATTAAAAAATTAAAAGAAAAAAATAATGATAATATTAATCAATTAATCTCAACGTAACTAGCCTTTAACATTCAATCCTGAATACGTTTACTCGTGTATGTTTACGAGCGTGTACATTATACCCCGTCCACGCTCGAAAAAGCGACACGGATGTGCATACGGTGGTCGCACACTTCGCCACCACTCAAACAGAAGCAGCGATCGACACACGAGCCAGTCAGGCACCCTTCTGAGCGCGTGCAACGCGGTGCGCAGCAGCTGAAGAAGAAGAAGAAGACGTTGACAAAGAGACGGTGGAGGGCGAGGGAGGCTGCGCTGCTATATGTAGCCCCGAATCTTAGCCGGAGCAACTATTACGCCCGAAATTCTCGAGGCGGACGCACCCCCTTGCTTGTCGAGCAACAGGTACAGGGTACGTGAGAAATTTTATTAAAGTCGCGTGACATCTTCTTTAATCGGTTCAACGTTTCATCCACGGTATTTTTTTTTCAACTTTAAAAGAATAATCCCTTAGTGATCGTGTGTGACAGTGAAGTTAGATCAAACAGATTTAAGATATGTTTTGTGTGATTCGAAGAGACTATTAGAGAGAAGAAGAAGACGACATACGTACACGCGATAACAGGAAGAAAATGCCGAGAGCGTTTCTAATCACTCATCGACGATACAATGGAGTCGAAGAGGAGTTCGATGGATCCGGAAGAGGTACACTCTTACCTTCGTAATTGTCACTTTGAATATTCTTCGTTTATCTCATACCTAGAAATTTTCTCTTTTTCTTTTTTTCCATCTCCTATATTGTAACTGCGTTTTAAAAATAACTACGACGGTATTCATTGCGTTCTCTTCTAGGATGAAAATTCTATTGATGAAAAAATAATTGTTCATTAATTATTGATCAATTTCACGTATAGTTTTAACATTATGACGAAAAGAAAATTGGTTGAAAGTTCAAAGGTTAACGTGAAAGTTCCTTTAATGGCAATGTTAACTGCCCGGAAACATAAATACGGATACTCGAATCGATGTAAGTAAAATTTCCGCGCCGCTTACGTCGATCTCGTCAATCAAAGTTGCTGATCGTAGGCCAAGAGAATATGCTGGTCGTTGCTTCGTGATTAAGGTGGTACATGGAGTAGATTTAAGAATAGGAGATACTAGATGCGTCACGAAACTCACGACGCATACCGTCGCGATGCCGTCAACCCCTCTAAAACTTTCATACAAACGCACATATACGAGTATAGATACATAGAAATACGCAGAAAATACGAGGATTAAAGAGAAAGAAAGATAACTAAGAGGATGGTAAGAGAGAAAGATACCTACTCTATTTCTGTTCTCCTCAAAAACAGAACAGACTCGCGAAGATGTTTCATATTTCACGAAACGCCTTGATATACAAGTCAATCACGAATCTCTTTGTTCGATCCTTGATTCGATTTATGACGTAAATACATAATGTAAAAATTATTGCAAAAACAATTGCAAATATCATAAATCTTTTAATCGAAATTTTTCTATATATTTCTGTTAATATTCATTTATAGAACAAAACCACTTGTTTTGGATTTTATATTTCTGTTCTTCACCTGTTCTGAAAAACAAAAAAAAAAAATTATAAATTTGAACAAATTTTATTTTCTGAAAACATAATTTGAAAAATACAGAAAAAAATTATCAAACTTTTTTTTTTTTTATTGTGAAATAATGATGTAGAAATAAAACTAATTATAAAGTAGTCAAATACAACGAAATCGAACTATCAATTGAAAGTTCTTTTAGTTTGATCACGAGATTTCCGTTGGAGTTTCGCCAAAACGCATTCAAACTGTAGAAACCTACGCTAACGATGATAAATGATTCCACGTGTCGCATTTTGATCTTCAATTCTATTATGGAACGCAATAATAGCTCTAATATTTCACATTGTTTATATATATTACAAATTATAATTTTGAATAGAAATATTTAAGGAATATCTTACATACAACTGATCATGAATCTAATTTTCTCAATTTCTAATAGATTTCAGTCCTGAAAGAGGTGTAAGATTGGCCGATTATAGCGGAAATCATCCAACTTCTGACGGTGCGAGTGAATGCGGTAGCGAAACATCATCAGAGTGTCCCGAAGAATTGTATAATCTTACAAAATTGGCAGAAGTGAGCTTAGCCGCGGCTGCTGGTACTCTGATTCATCCGAGTAACGTGATTTATCAACAACAATCAACTTCGCCTAGGTGTGCTCAATTTTCGGACAAATGCGGAAGAATGATAACGCCACGAACAAAACAGCAGGAATCGCAATTTCAAGAACATCCAGGGATCATTGAAGATGAACAATCACTTGGTGAAAGAACAAGACTATTTTTTGAGAGGATCGAATGCGAACGTGAAATTTTACAGAATCGTTCGGAGAAAAACACAGTTCTAGGTATTCACGTACCATCTCGTTCTCATCACTTGCAAGAAGAACGTCACAGTATCGAAATTTCCGAAAATTCACTCGATAAAATTGAATTGGAATCAAATCAATCGCCATCCTCGACGATTTTCCAAAATCGGAGGACAACCTCAACCTCAACAGAAACGTCGAAATCCGAAGACAATGAAGATCACGAATGTCCTGACTGCGGAAAAAAATATTCGACATCCTCCAATTTGGCCAGACATCGACAAACGCATAGATCTCTTGGAGATAAGAAAGCTAGAAGATGTCCACATTGCGATAAAGTTTATGTTAGTATGCCTGCATTTAGTATGCACGTCAGAACACATAATCAGGGATGTAAATGTAATTATTGCGGCAAATGTTTCTCGAGACCATGGCTCCTACAGGGACACATACGTACTCATACAGGTGAGAATTTATAATAAAATTCATACTATTATATTTGAAGCATAATATAATAATAAAATAAAATAAATTATATATATATATATATATATATA